AGAAAGAATATAAACACTCATAAAATATTCCTATGGTCTTTTTAGAATTGCCAACAGAAAGGGAGGGGGGAGCAGTGCAGCAGCTTGCAAACCGAAACCGCATTCCATAAATGTTTTCAAAGACAGTAACTAGGTGACCGAAGTTTGTGCTGTGCAAAATTCTAACGAGATCATGATTGATGACTCTTGGCTATGGATGTGTCCCATTGGCGAATAGGAATTACGATACACCCAGGGGGTGGGGGAAAACCAGGGTCAAGGGTGACAATGAATGATGTGCTTCAGAGTTGGCTACACCCAGGCAGTGCTGGCATGTTTACTCCTAATAAATCCTTTTGAAGTTTTGGGAGTTTGGCTTGAGACTCATGGTTTAAATGGGGGTAACTGCCAGAATCCTGACAGCTAGCCGACTCTGAGACACCATAATTCGTTGTGTGACACACGGATACAGATAACCTATCCTTAGAAGACAAGCCATAAAGGCCATCCTCAACTTAGCAACCATCCATTTAGCAACTGTTCAAAGTTAAAACAGCACTGAAAAAAAAGTTACTTAGAACCAGTCTTCATATTTAGGACTGTTGCAACTTCCCCACAGTGAGATGATCAAAATCCAGGCACTTGGCATGTATTCACAATGGTTGCAGCATCACAGGGTCAAAAGCAATTTAGAAATATTTTTTGTGAAGTGAACTTTGTCGTGGACCGTTTCATTAAAGTATTATCCTTGTCCTATTTAAGTTTTGTTCTGAAAAATTATCAAAACCACAAAGGAATGGAGAAAGAGAAATGATGTTTTTCTCCCCTTAGCTATTCTTTTGAGTTCAACGCAATAGGCTGTTGTTTGAAATGATGCTTTTCTTCCTTTCTGTTTTTTCCCCAGTGCCATTAATTGGAGTGAACACAGTGACAATTGTGCTGTTGTTATTATTTGGTTGAAATTGTCTTCGGAAAATCTGGATAGCGTCTAAAGCAAGCAGACTGCAGACCGATTTGCACGTGGGATCCAATCTGAGGGAACTGCTGAAGAAGCCGCATATATGTCTCAATAAAGATGCAGTTTATATTTATTGTATCGCTTAATATGCACTCCGTTTCATTAAATCCAATGATTAAATTGAACCAGTTTTTTCCCCCCTCTACGTATTGTGGTAGTAGTCTAAAGGTGCGATTCTTTCATTCCTTTAAGCTTAGGGCTGAACATTCAGTCACTGAGGATTTCCCCCCCCCCCCCAAAAAAAAAAATGATTTAGTGTTGGTTTATATATATATATACTAGCTCTATACCCGTGCTTCGCTACGAAACCATGTGGTCGGGCTTAGTTTTTGGAGAGGCAAATAAGGGGAGGAAATTCTGCCTCTGCCTACCAGCATCCATCGGTATTCATCTGGCTAGCGTCCTGTCAGTGTGTGAGAGAGTTGAGGGCTGTTTGGAAACTGAAACATGGAAACTGAAACAGTATTTGCCATGTGAGCAAGAAGGAGGCAGCAAGGAGCCTGGCGTGGCTTAGCTCAACTGTTCTGTACTAAAGCTGCTTTCTAAACTGAAACTGAAACTCCTCTGCTTGTGTTTTGCATTTGGAAGAGATTTCTTTCCAGGTGGGGAAGGGGAGTAGAACTCCTTAGCATCAGAACGTGTTAATAATAATAATATAGGAAATACTAATGATCCGATGGTCATTTCGAAAATTCCTTAGTGAGCACCTAGAAGCCAAGAGGAACATACGGGCCAAATTTCAAGTTTCTAGGCTTTACGGTTCTGGAGATTTTGTGATCCATTCCCCACTGTCCAGTTAGAGCTGAAGAAGCTTGGGTGAGAAATGAAACGTCCTCAAAAGAAAAAACAAAGTCCAGTTGCCTCCTGAAGAAAGCACCTTTGAAACAACTGTGACCTGGATGACTGAGAATCTCTCTACATGTTTACAATGGTTTGCAGCATCCTGTAACTGAAAAACAGTCGTAAGTCACATTTTTCAGTGCCGTTGTAACTTTGAACAGTCACTAAATGAACTGTTGTAGGCCAAGTATTTCATAAGAGTCATTTAAGGATCCTACTGATCTCACCTAAATCCCAATTCAGCTTCCTGGGTTCCACTACCCAGCTTTCCCCCTCAATCAACTCCCTGCAACCACTATATTCCTTTAACTCGGAGGGATTTTCTTCTTTCTCACAGCCTCTGGATTTGCACAAAACAAAACATCAGGTCCAGGAAAGCCCAGCAGGTTCATATTGTACAGCACGATAAGTTGGGTTCAATTTAGTGCAGTGTTAGGAAGGAAGATGCAAGGCACGGCACAGCTGGTCTCGGGAAGTTCGATAATGCACTGTCAACAATTCTTTTTATCAGTTTAGAAGTGCCCTGTCTAAATAGAAATTGTGTTGGCAGAGTTTCAAACACTCGGTAAAGAACAAAAATCTTGAAAAGTGTTGAATTACCTATCACAAGAAATTTGATCACTCGACAACATAAATGGATTCTCCAGGCTACTATTATAGCTAAAAGGTGGATATTGTTATATTGGAAAGATACATCTATGGCCTTTCGCTCAACAGATTGAAAACCTGATCGTATTTGCTGCCCGTGAATGGATTGTGTGTAGATGTGGACCTTGTATGGATAAATGTAGGGAAATATGGGATTCAAAAGAACAGTAGATTCAAAATAGTCATATGAGTATTACAGACACATGATAATGATGAGAATATTTGTAGCTCAGGATTGACATGAGGATCCTCCTCTACTAGCACTGATGATGTTACATAGTTTGGGTAATGAAACGTCTGCAAGAAAACAAGCTCAGAGAGCACCAAGGATCCTTCCTCACACACATGAATGTTTGTACCAGATAATTACACATAGAACTTTAACTGCTTATTGTTCTAATCCAGGGGTCCCCAAACTTGGCAACTTTAAGACTTGTGGACTTCAACTCCCAGAATTCTCCGGCCAACTATGCTGGCTGGGGAATTCTGGGAATTGAAGTCCACAAGTCTTAAAGTTGCCAGGTTTGGAGACCTGTGTTCTAATCTAATAACATACTCTGCATCTTATTCCTTCATATGGTTTCATTTATTTTTAAATATAAATTTTTAATAATGTATATATGTTTTGCTTTTGCTTCTTTTGTTACTATTTTTTTAAAAGCAATGCAAATTTTATTTTAAAAAGCTACCCTGAAAATTGGCTATGCTTTGTCTATCTGTGCCAAATTAATCACACGTCAAAACTGGGAGTCTGCCTTGACCACAATAAACTGTGTTTCTTTCTGCCATTATTCCCAGATTGACCACAGGGAATCGTGGGGTTGGAAGAAATGTTCATCTGGGTTTAATTCCAAGGTGGGTGGGAGAAAGACATTGGAAACAAGGAGGCTGCTTGGAAGGATGGTTTAATGGTGGACAGGACCACATGGGTTTGAAGTCCTGGGTAGCTGGCCACATGGAGTGGAGAGCTGGCCACATGGAGTGGAGAGTGAATGTTATTTATACCCTCTCTTGGGCTTTGAACTTGAGCTTCCTGTTCCTGTGGCAAGGAATGTATTCAATTGGTTGCAGTAAGACTCCCATGTGGAGTCATGTTTGTCTGAATCAAGTTTGGTTGAACCTGATGTAATGGGCTTGGTTGTGCCATGTGGTGAGATCCGCTGATAGATAATCCTATTATGTCCTGGAGGGCCACGTCTTAATCCCATCACCCTGGAACTGAAGGTCTTTTGTCTTGCAGATAGGCTGGCCCAGTCTTAACGGGCACCAAATATCTGCTGGGGGGGCAGGGAGCTGCTTTTTGTCTTTAAAAAAAACTGTTTCTCCTTTTCTCATCCAGGGAAATATAATATTCTGCCTTTTTAATATTTCCTAAAGTATTTCATTCACCCAAGAGGTGCTAACTTTCTTCAGTGGCTTAGCAGCACTTGGATGTTGATCTGGTATCATAATTACTGTTTCTGTATTGCTCTTTCTCCCCAAGGAGCCCAGAGCAGTTTACAAGAGAAAGGAAAAAGTCTTCCTGCCATTGCAATAAAAAGAAAAAATTAAAATATGACCACAGCAAACTCAAGGCAGCTGTGTGAACAAGAGTGTCTTTAGTTTAGTCTTTAGTCCGATCTAAGTATAGTATATAAAATCATACATTGCAATGTCCTACCTGTCAATGAATACTTCAGCTTCAACCATAATAACACAAGAGCAAACAATAGATACAAACCCAAGGTTAACTGCACCAAACTTGATTGCAGGAAATACGACTTCAGCAGCAGAGTGGTCAATGTCTGGAATACTCTGCCTGACTCTGTGGTTTCTTCCCCAAACCCCCAAAACTTTAACCTTAGACTGTCTATTGACCTCACCCCTTTCCTAAGAGGCCTGTAGGGTGTGTGCATAAGCACACCAATGTGCCTACCATCCCTGTCCTATTGTTTCTTTTATTTCTTTTATTTTTCTTATATGTATCCATGTATTGATAACTATGTTTTTATTTGTACCTATTATCTTGTAAACAATTGACAAAAATAAATAAATAAAATAAATAAATAGTTGTTCTCTTAGAGAAATACAATGAATTTTTAGAGTTTTGGGGTAAAACCTTGTAAAGTGGAGCAGCATCTGCTGCTATTCCCTGGTTTACACCAGAGATTCCTGTATACCATCTCCTTTAGGATCTAGGGTCCCATAGACAGGTAGAAATTCAACAGGAATTTTATTTTTTTTACTGTTGTAGAAAATAGATCATGATCTGTATGTAGCATCAATGAAATTGATGTGAAATAGGTGTTTATCTAACCGCCTGTTCAAAAATGTTAGCGTCGAACAGGATACAAAGTAAGCGTTATCATCTCGATTAATGGACACGTTTATTTGTGCTATTTAGGAAAAATATATCTCGATTGCTGAAGAGAACAAGAAAAAGAAACGAAGGCCCACACAGGCAATTTTTTAGACGACTCCAAAGGTCCTTAAGCGACAGGACCTTCCGCCAAATCCCAATGACGGATCAGAGCGAGAGCAGGCTGGCTCGTCCCTCCTGCATATCGTAATAGTACAGTCCAATCCGAGACGTCCCCCATAGTGGGGACGGTACCAATGGTGTGAAAGAGGGGGAAGTGTTGCCTCCTGTCTCCTTACTTAGGGTCTCACCAAGGGCTCAGTCCGCAGAGCATTTCTCAGCAGCAAAGAGAGAGACTGTCTGGGGTGTCGAGGTACGGAAGGAAGGAGGGCAGCGGGCGATTTTCCTTCCCCTTGTGACATTGGCAAGGAGTTGGGGCTGCTTTCCTCCTTAATAGGGCAGGTGTGTGTAGTAAGGCTGAATGGGGGTAATGATGAAGTTGGTAAAAGAGTTAAGACCAAAGAATGCAACGGTGGGGAGGGTGCATGTTGTGCCTTTGCATGCATCTCTGATCTTGCCATAGCTCCTTCCAAACTTTTTGGGGAGCAGGCCTGGTGCCTGCTGCATCAATTGCTGAATGGGGTAGATTTTAATGCCCCAAAGGGAGTGCCCCCTGCCACTCCCCACCATTGTCTCTGTATGAGTCCCCGTTCTGGCTTTGCATTCCAACACTTTCGGCTGCATCCCTCCCTTCCTTGGAGCTGCACAGAACAAAAAGGAACACATCCTGCTTCTTCCTTACAATCTCGTTTCTCAACCCGAGCCAACCTTTTTTTTAAGATGTGTGGATTATGGGAATTGAAGTCCATGCATCTCCCAATAAAGAGTGGCATCTTAATTGCTGTTGAATCGCTTAGGACCGCTTGTTTCTATTGTAGCAAGAGAATTTATGAAATAGGTGAGTTCAGCTAGGCAATTCTCCTCTGAAACTGAAGCTGGACGTGATGTCCCAGATTTTGTTTTCTGTGTAACTTTCTCTGTTTAAAAGAAAATGAATTTTTATTTTTATTTTTGGGGATTGGAGGAGAAGTTTCTGATGGATCAATTATTGATTTATTTTTATATGTTCCCCGCCCCCCTCTTCTTCTGAGCGGGCTCATCTACTTAGCAGGAAGCATCCAAAAGATGCTTTTTTTCCAGGACAACCATGACCTGGATGACTGAGAATCTCCGTAGCTATTTAGCAGGGAAATGTAGGGGAGAGGTTTCCTGCTTATTTTAACCATCTGTTGTTACCTAACCATTTATGCTCTTTTTCCTCCCTTCTACCACCTCCATCTTCCCCTTGGCTTGAAGGATGGCAGCTCGGCGTGCAATAAAGGCGGTCTTGGTGGATCTCAGTGGTACGCTTCATATAGAAGACTCAGCTGTGCCAGGAGCCCAGGAAGCTCTTAAAAAGCAAGTTATTTCTTCCAAGTTCCGTCGAAGGTTGGGCGGGAAAGTGACAATTTTACCAATCCCATTTCTTAGCTGAGAAGATGCTTTTGCAGGCAGGAGGTATCGCTTCCTCCCCTGCCCCTTGTTCGTATAGTTGCATCTCAAATTCCAAAATTGTCCTCTTGCACCAAAAGCAGCAAACATTTAAGACTCTTGTTTCTTTAGTTATTAATTGCTCTTTTTGGAAGGAAAAATCCACCTGGTTCAACTCTTAAGCTGGGAGAAAGGATAAATAAAAATAAATAAAATGGAGGCTGGAGGCTGGTTGGAATGAAGGTCCATTTATTGATGAACAGAACCACCTGGGATATGGTTCTGGGACAGCTGACAAAATAGAGTTTGGAGTGAATGGATTTTTATACCTTCTGGATTCCTATGGGGTCATTTAGGGGTCATGGCTGGCTCTATAGGCAAAAGGGGAAATGCAGATCCTAGATGTCTGAGCTAATTTTGTCAAGCTTTTGTTTGTTGCTTATCTGAGTTTGTATCTTGAACCAATCTTTCTGAATGGATTACCAAATCTGCATTTCTAAAAGCTGGCCTCCTCAGTTTCTGCTTGGGGCAAGGAAACTGGGGCTGGTTTTTGCTTCCCTTAAGATTTTTTTTTCATTTTTCCTTTAGGGGAAATGTTCAATCCTGCCTTTTTAATATCTCCCAAAATATTTTATTCTTCGGGGGTGGGGGGGCCTTCCCACAGGTTTATTTATTTATTGGTCAATTTAGATACTACCTCTCTCACTCACTGAGTAGTTCTGGGCAGTGTGCAATTAAAACCTAAAAATCTAAAAACCATATAAAAATAAAACACATCAGTAAAAGAGCCAGGTAAAAAAAACAGAATAAAATAAAAGTTAAAAAGCAAGGGGAGAGCTGTTAAGGCATCAACCACCTCCAGGGTTGAATGCTGCTAGGGCTCTGATGGCGAACCTATGGCACGCATGCCATGGGTGGTACGCAGAGTAATTTGTGGGGAAGCACGTGAGCCCCAGCCAAACATACCTGCACTGCGCATGCGCACGCCTCCCAGCTGATTTTCGGCCTGTTTGAGGCCGTTTTCGCCCTCCCGGAGACTCGAGGGAAGCTCTGCAGCCTTGGGAGGCCGAAAAACGGGCCTTCTGGAAATACCAGAAGTGCCGAAACGGGCCCCTTATTCGGCCTCCCAAGGCTGCAGAGGCCCTCCGGAGGCTGAAAACAGGCACCTCTGGTATTTCCGAAAGGCCCGTTTTTCGGCCTCCCATGGTTGCAGAGGCTTCCCGGGAGGATGAAAACGGCCTCAAACGGGCCGAAAATCAGTCAGGAGGAGAGTGCATGCACAGTGCAGGCAAGGGGCCGGAGTGGGGGTGTTGCACAGGCATGCGCAGGGGGGGCACATTGCATTGTGGGTGCCAGTGTCCGTGCGTGCTTTTGGCACACCACAACGAAAAGGATCGCCATCCCTGTGCTAAGGGAACCCCATGTGAGTTAGCCTAGCCAGGACTTCAAACTCTTTTGAAAGGCCAGGAGAGTCGAGGCCCAACCTCACCTCAAGAGAGAGTATTCCAGAGGGTGGGAGACACGGCAGAGAAGGGTCACTTCCTGGATTCCGCTAGTTGTAATCCTTTAACCGATGGGATCCATAACAACTTTCCAACCTGACCTGGAGGCACCTGTTGCTGGCCAGGAAAACTTATAAAAGAAGCAGCGAGTTCCTGTAGAAAACAGTATTTGGTAAAATTCTCTGTTTGTGTTCATCTCAACTTGATGCAATCGTGATACAGCAAAAGCAATAGCACTTAGACTTATATACCACTTTACAGTGCTTTACAGCCCTCTCTAAGCAGTTTACATAGTCAGCCTATGGCCCCCCAACAAGTTGGGTCCTCATTTTATCCACCTCAGAAAGATGGAAGGCTGAGTCAACCTGGAGCTTGGTGGGATTTGAACTGCCAAACTCTAGGCAGCTGGCTGCAGAAGTAGCTTGCAGCACTGCACTCTAATCACTGTGCCACGGAGGCTCCGTGTAGTACCTTGGTATTCAGTTGTTTCCAAACTCTTCAAATTTGATCCTTGATGCATCTTGATGTGAAAACGTTGTCCCAATACTCGTGAATCTTTGGTATTTGACACTGTGCAAAAAAGGAGGGAGGGGCAGCTGCAGAGGGAGGGCAGGCCATGCTGGGAAGGTCTCTGATAGGAAAAAGGATAGACAGAAAGTCCTTCCCGGCAAAAAAAGAAAAAAAGAAGGATCATGTTACAGGCTACCTGGCACGCATAGTTTTTAGTACTCCTTGGGCCTTCTGGAACCAATTAACGTTGACTATCGAGGTACCATTGTACAGATAGTCCTCAACTTACAAGAGTGTCGGTTTAGTGACCGTTCGGAGTTACAATAAGAGCCTCGGTGGCGCAGTGGTTAGAGTGCAGTACTGCAGGCTGCTTCTGCTGCTTGCAATTTGGTAGTTCGAATCTCACCAGGCTCTAGGTTGGCTCAGCCTTCCGTCCTTCTGAGTTGGTAAATTGAGGAGCCACATTATTGGGGGCCAGAGGCTGACTCTTTAAACCACTTAGAGAGGGCTGTAAAGCACTGTGAAGCGGTATATAAGTCTAAGTGCTATTAGGAAGGAAGGGAAGGAAGGAAGGAAGGAAGGAAGGAAGGAAGGAAGGAAGGAAGGAAGGAAGGGGCTGTAAAGCACTGTGAAGTGGTATATAAGTCTAAGTGCTATTAGGAAGGAAGGAAGGAAGGAAGGAGGGAGGGAGGGAGGGAGGGAGGGAAGGAAGGAAGGAAGGAAGGAAGGAAGGAAGGAAGGAAGGAAGGAGCCAGGGTGACATAGTGGTCAGGATGCAGTACTGCAGGCTAACTCACTGACAGGAGTTCGATCTTCATCGGTTAAGGTCGACTCAGCCTTCCACCCTTCCGAGGTGGGTAAAATGAGGACCCAGATGGTTGGGGGCAAGAGGCTGACTCTGTAAACTGCTTAGAGAGGGCTGGAAAGCACTCTAAAGCAGTATATAAGTGCCAGTGTGCTATTGCTACAATAGCACTGAAAAAAGTGACCATTTTTGACAAGACCGTTGCAGCATCCTTAGGGTCACGTGATCAAAATTCAGATTCTTGTCAAGCAACTCATATTTATGACGGTTGCCGTGCCCCGAGGTTATGGGGTCACAATGTGGCGACTTTCTGACAAGCGAAGTCAAGGGGAAAGCCAGGTTCACTTAACCACTGGGTTACTAACAACTGAGGCGATTCACTTCACAACCGTGGCGAGCAAGATCGTAAAACGGGGCAGAACACCCTGAACAGCTGTCTCACTTAGCGACGTAAATTTGGGGCTCCATTGTGGTCGTACGCCGAGGACTGCCTGCGGTCGGATTACGCACAATGGTACTTCTGCGACCAAAACACCCTCATCAGCTTCTGTGTTTCTCCCGGCCAGGTTGCGCTCTGCTCCTGTGGCCGTCCGGTTTGTGACGAACACGACCAAGGAGTGCAAGCAAGACCTGCTGGAGAGGCTGAAGCAACTTGATTTTGACATTAAGGAAGACGAGATCTTCACATCTCTGACGGCAGCCCGAAATTTGTTGGAGCAGAAAAAGGTCCGGCCTTTGTTGATGGTGGAGAAAAATGCTTTGCGTGATTTTACAGGTATCTGTTCTGACCCAGCTCCCCAAACAGAACCAACACTCTGAAGTTAACTTAAAATATTCCTTTAATTAGGAGCCCCAGTGAAAAGTTTCTCTTGTCATCACAGGCTTATAAGTCTACCTGTCTGGAAGATGAATAGTTGTCTGCCACACCTATTCCATCTCCACTCCCTGCCTTTTCTTCCCAGAGCTCGGGTGGGGCTTCATTAGCAGCAGTGGCTCTTCCATCCCAAGGACTGGCCCATAGATTTCCCCTGCTCTCCTCTCCTCTGCCTTTGTACTGACCTGAACCTTGTTCCAAGGAAACAAACACCAGATGGAGGTAACACCAAAACCTTTTAATGATCCTTTACGAATTCCGTTCCCTCCCGGTTAAAAGGCTGTTTCAATCTAATTGTCTCCGATAAGAACGAGCCTTGCCAAGGTTGTGCAAGGCTGCCAAGAACACTAGATAAAGTTACTAAGAAATATTTCAAACACAAAGAGTCTCCAAACGCCAACCAAGATATTCCGAACGTCCACAAGGCTTGAGTGCAAAAACTTCTTTGCTTCCTGCAAAGAACTCCGGTTTCTCAGCTGGCTTTTATCTCCTCAGGGAGGGGCCATTA